GCTGTTGCATAATAATGAATCCTCACTGCTCAATGGCCCTAAGTGCCGAGTATAGGTCTAAATTTGAAGCCCTTCAGCGACATACGGTGATGTCTCCAAACGAGGGAAAAATTCTCGAGAGGGACAACACAACATGCAATCAATCAAACAAAAACAAAACCAGCCCAGGAACAGCACACCCGACAAATTTGAATACTTTCTGTCCAACTTCATTCAAGACTGGAACCAGGTGATTTACAAATTCTCTGGGATATTTCTAGACAGTAGCCTGTCGCCTCCCAGACGAGGATTAGCCAACAATCCCACTGGACAAAATCACTAACGAGACGAGGACCAGAGAAGTGAAAAGGACCAGAGCCGTAAGACGATCAACAAGGCTTTTTTTGGAAAGAAACCAATAACACCTTCTTCAGGATTGTGACAAACGTATTTCGAACGCTGGTTTAAAAAAGCAAACATTATAGACTAAAAACCCCGTGCTGATCCTAGATTCTCCACGACTGTCGCTTACTTACTCTTGTGGTCGGGAATACAAAATATCCAATTGTTGGATTTGTTGGTGTTGTGCCGGAACGGGAACGTCCGAGATACGGATAAGTAAAGAAACAGAGGTCCGAGAAATTTAATTATGAATCCTAGGAGTACGATTTTTATAAAAATGATAAAAAAAGTAGTACAACATGTTTCTTTTTCTCAAAATGCCTACCTGTTTTCTATAAAAAAAAATCTAAGACAACTGAACTTAGAATGTGGTCACATTATAGAAAATTTTTCACAAGTGCAATATTTTATAACTTACCCGATAATGAGAAAGTTGAGGAAGGGGATCGTAATGGAAAGGATATAGTTATTTTCTATTTTCCCGAAATTATTACAAGGATTATTCCTCCTTTCATAAGTATATGTAATAAAAATTTTACTATAAACGATTTTTTAAAGTAAACAAAAGTGAAATATGCGCCAGGTGTAGAAAGAAATGCATTTTAACGGGATATTGTCTTATACATTTAACATTTTGTTGAAAAAGTGGTTAATCCTTCGACAAAGATATTTTTTGTGGTAATTGAGTGAAAAGTATTTAAACTTTTTCTTTTGACAAGATTTTTAACTAAAACCTGTTTCTGTACAGACCATCCATCGTCCGATTCAAACCCGCTACCACTCATTCTTTTTTTCATATTTATACAAAAACACAGCTTATTTTCATATATTTCCTAGTTTGTACCGATTGTTTTGAATTTGTTAAAGAAGTTTCCCGAATGCAAAGCAAAATTTTATTGTTACTCGCTGTTCTGTGACGCCCTCCAACGTCAAGTTTTTTGTCATTTTTAATCAAGTCCATATGTGTTTAGAAACTGATATCTTTGAAACGGAAGGGTATATTACATTACCTAAAAGCATCTTAAGTGATACAGCAAGACTAAATTTGAACATGTAATTTAAATTTCGTTTCAGCTCCATTTCCCGTACAAAAAAAAATCTATAGTTAACTATACTTAAGTTTTTCATAGTGTCAAAATTTTCGTCAAAGTTTTTCAAAGTGTAAACGTTTTCGCCAAGTTTTTCAAAGTGTCAAAGTCTTCGCCGAAGTTTTTCAAAGTATCAAAGTTTTCAATAAAGTTTTTCAAAGTGTCAAAGTTTTGATAAAGTTTTTCAAAGTATCAAAGTATTCAATAAAGTTTTTCAAAGTGTCAAAGTTTTGATAAAGTTTTTCAAAGTGTCAAAGTTTTCAATAAAGATTTTCAAAGTATCAAAGTTTTCGATAAAATTTTTCAAAGTGTCAAAATTTTCGCCAATGTTTTTCAAGGTGTCAAAGTTTTCGCCAAAGTTTTTAAAAGTGTCAAAGTTTTCGCCATAGTTTTTAAAAGTGTGAAAGTTTTTGTCATAGTTTTTCAAAGTGTCAAAGTTATCACTATATAAACAAAGTTTTCAAAGTGTCAAAGTAAAACTTTTGTTAACTCTAGTAAATTTTTGTTAGGGATGTTAAAGGTATGGCTTTAGATACTATTAAGTGAAAATTAGTTAATTACTCAATTTTAACCTTGCTCCGTGACCCCATTTTTGCTGATCTAATTCTTCGATAACTTTATTAAAATATGAAGATATATTCCAATTTTTCTTCTCCAATTATTCGAATTTGTTGTTAGAATATGTGTACCAAATGGCAAATTTGGATGTAATATTATGATTAATAAAAAAAAAATAGGGCAAAAGTCTACGAACTTTTTGAATGGCCCACGATTCATACGACAAAAGATAATCCAATATATGTTATTGTATTTTCTTTGTTGTGGCCATCTAAGAAGACGTATTTTAAAATAAATTTCCAAATAATCTGAAGTGGGCGCAATTATATGAAATAAATATTACCTTGAACATTTGGTTTTAAGTACCATTAAGAGGAAGACAGGATATTCCGCATTATATCCTCTTTCAACCAATTTTGGGGACAAGAATTTCGACAGTAGGGTGATTTATCATAAAAATTGCACTAAAAGAAGATTGTTACACATTTTTGTGCTTTATTTGACTATATGACGGAGACAGATAACAAAAGCGAGCTCTAGAAATAAAAGTAATTATACATGCTGAGTACTAGAGGTTGAACTTTTAACCTGGACGGTTCCAAGAAATAATTCATAGGAATGCAGTTATTTACTTGTTTATCAAAACTGTATTTGGTTAGGATGAAGAAACAAACAATAGTATTGAAGTGACCAGTAGTCAGATGTAGGTGTAAGCTAGCTATAACAAATGGTATTAAAAGATAATGTAAAAATTTTTATTTTTCAAAGGGAAATTATAAATTAAAATGTATTCAAGGTCAAAATAGTAATTATTCAAATCAAAACTTAAAAATAAAATTGGTAATGCAATTTTATAAGAACAAACAAAAATTTGGATGAACGACATCAGGCATAAAACAGACAGCCAGTAGACAAGATTTCAGTGGGTAGCTGAATCTTGACTGTCTTGGTTGCATTTTATACAGGTTGGGTAACATCTCCATTGCCCAACACCCGTGAGCCTTAAGGGTCAGGAATAAGAAGGGATTTGGAATTGACATGTTAAGAAATTATCTAATAAAGCAAAAAAGCTGTCTTGAGTCATTTTTACTTAGCTCGAGGATTAAAGGAGTTATTCCACTTTTGGACTTCTCTTACTGAAATAGGCAAGATTTCGTTTTATATGAACAAACTCTTGATCGGCAACATTTCATTGGGGACTCCTCAAACTTGTATGGTTAAGGATTTATAAAAAGGTAATTCAACATTGAAGTGCAACGTCCATACATCGTTGTATCAACGTTGAATACCTGATATGACCATTCCTGAAACTTTCCTGAGTACGACATTGCCGTTTTCGAAAAATTGCATGCACAAAATTGGTATCGTTTTCAATTCTCCTCTTTCTATATTTTTGCAATGTTTGGTAAAATAGCGTGAAAGTAAAATGAAAAAAAAAAATAAGTAAGGAGATGAATCAATAGATGATCTCCATGATAAATAGATTGCTAGATTAATAAAAAGTAAAGATAAAAACATCCGCTACAGAAAACGATAGGCCTTTTATGGTAATAAACATTGAATTGAAGTTATTTTTAATTTGTATTTGTTGAAAACAAAAACATATACCTTTACATGTATATAAGACAATGACATGATCTCAGTTTCTTCTATAAAAACAGAAAAAAAATATGATAATTGATCATTACAAAAGCAGGAACCGTAACATGCGTAGATATTAAACCTAGCTAGAATATCTCAATAAACTTTCATAAAATGAGAGATACCGTGCCTTAGCCCTATACGCACAAGCCTTCAATCAGATCCATGTTTGGATTTAATAGACCCAATTGGTTTCATATCCGTTACTATACCTCATATACCTCGTTTTACAACGCAAAATTTAATAGCAATTCAAAATTATATAAACAGGGTTTATTACATTTTGTGTTTTTTTCCATTATGTGTTGATCTTGACACATAATGTAATAACGCAATATGTCGATTGTTACATTTTGTATTCATACATTATGCGTCGAGATCATCTCAAAATTTAACAATGTACTTTTTTCCTTTTTTTTTTTACTTTGCGTTAATTGGTTTTTGCTTTTAAGACAACTCAAAATGTAAAAAAAAATCAATATGTAATTTAGAAAAATATATAATTTTAATTTGGGGTTGTGCTTAAAACAAAACATCATTATATTCATTTGAGTATATCATGGGAAAATTGCTTAAAAAACAGTTAGAAATATGACAATGAGGCCAACGTTACGGCTTTTACAGAAATCTAGATGTGTCTTTTTATCTAACTCTTATTCTGTTTATCACATTTTTATTGCATACACCGTACTTATAAAACATTAATTCAACTTTTTTGACATGCCTTTTCATAAATCAGTCTTATTAGATATCTAACCAATAACAATTTTGACCAAAGATTGGTTTCAGTATGAAATCATAATTGTCAATAAACTCCCTCTCCGCTAAATTTTCCCACCTGTTAGTACAAATTGATGGATGTTTTTAGACTTAATGCATTTGTCATTCAAAAAACAAAAAAAGAAAAACACTGGACAAAAAAATACCCTCCCCCCAAACAACAACAGCAACAACAACCCATCCCAACATGTAGAGTTCTAAGAAGCAACACCTATGACTTGAATATTAAACTGATTTTAGGTACACGTAGCAAATAAATTCAATAGATAATATTTTCTCTTTATTTATTTTCTTCCCCCTTTACTCGCTTCTAGAATATTATACTCTACCTGGCTGACAAAAATATGTATTATTACATGTTGCGTCCTTACCTTTTGCTTCATCTCGACGCAAAATGTAACAGCGCAAAATGTAAGAATCCAAAAATCGTCTTATTACATATTGTATTATTACATTTTGCCTTGATCTCGCAGCAAAATGTAATAACGAAAAATGCAATAATCCCTGGGTATTACATTTTGAGTTGCTATTACATATCGCGTTGAAACATACCTCGTATCCAGGTTTGATGTGTCCATTGCATAAATTCAAAATATCATCTTGATGAAGTCCATCATGCAGATGAAGTCCTCTACTGTCGAATAACCTGACTTTCAACCACCTCCCATCACTTAGGACTAAAGATCCGGGAATGTTCTACAAATGAACAACGATCTATAGATTTAGAGAATATTCTATGAAGCATTAAGTAGGAAAATAGAAATACATGTATACATGATCCAAGAGATATGCATACTGGTTAAAATTTAATGATTTCTCCTCCGTAACCACTCTGAAATGGCAACATACAAAGTTTGATTTGATTTAGCATTAAAGAGTTTTTAAGTCACATCCATAATCCTCATGTCCAAATGTCATCAGTTTTAATCTGCATACAGGGTCATTTAAAGATTGATCATATGGAAATAATATCTTTTAAGTAGGACGCAGGAATTTATTTTGATTCAATATATTTTTCCTACGTCAAGCAGAACGCTGAAAATAACTATAAATGTTCTTTAGATAATTCCTTTATTTAACTTTATCAATAAAATTAGGGATGTCAACGATTACCCGGTTAACGGGATACCCGATCGAACGTCCGAGCATCAAATGCAAAAATCGGAACTCGATTACTCGGATTTATATTTTTAAATATTTCTAAGCTTAATTATTAATGCATTAAGTTTGAAAAATCGGTTTTAAAACGTAATATATTCATTGCACTTGCACATACAGTAATTAAGGATTCCTGCGCCTCTAAATGACCGTTATCGCCTGTGACAGTGTTTATACAGTAATTATTACCATGACCAAGCGCTTACTACCTAAATGGCTTTTCTCACCTTCTGCTGTCTTATACCCTTATGTCTAGTTAGCTCTAATTATTTGTTTTCATTGAACATCGTTTAAGGTTTATTATGTTTAAATAGATAATTTTGTCAATTCTCTAAATGCCGAAAATTCTCGGGGAAAGAGACAGACGATATTGCACGTGCGATTGTTAATATGGATGCGTTTGATTACGTGCCAATTAATGCAAATGGTTGAATGCAAAGCCTTTAAAAATCGTATGTCTATCGTTGCACCAAACTTCAGCATACCGTCTCGTAATTTTATGAAATCTAGGATCGAAAAGTGTACTAAGACCGTAACTCCGCTCTGTTATAGGAGAACTTGATAAAATTGATACTGTATGTGTAGCTTCAAAATGACGACCTATCATTTGGACGTCAAACGCATCAAATAATTACATTACAATTAGTGAACATATTATTTCTTTAAAACAAAACCACTGTGAAACCATTTATGATTTCATTTCTTGCATTTTCTGATATATAAAGTGAACTTTAAAAAAAAAATTAGATTAAATTTCGTCGGACACAAAGTGGTCATAATTGCTACAACACATTTACAGGTAAACCACCCACCAGACCATGTGGTTTTATTTTTTCACGTTTTTACAATGTTTTAAAGTTAACAATTAACTTGTTCATATAGTGTATTTATTTAGAATTTTACCGAGATCCCGGGTACTCGATCGGAAAAACGTCCGAGTAACCGAGTATTAAAAATTGACCGATTGACATCCCTAAATATAATCATCATTAAGATCATCATCCCTGGTCCCTGATCCCACCCCTGAAGTTTTGGGGGTCCGTGTTTGCTCTGCTCTGACGTTGTATTGTTTTATAGACTTTGAAATTGAATACTGTTCGTTATCTCCATATCCTTCAATCATCTAGTTGCATCATTTCCAACACTTCGATGTTAAAAAGTGCTGATTGCTTGGCAAATGAGCAGTTGTTATCTTTTTAAATGAAATGAGCTAAAAGCTAATGACATTCACATTTTCAAATTTTCTTCTCAAGAACTTGTTTTACAGATTGAGCGACCTTAATGATTTATCATGAACACAAAAATTTCTTATGATAAAAAGGATCAGAGTGAAAAACAATTTATTTCGTTTTCCGAACAAATACACACAATATTTTTTTACTCGCCATTGATGTCACAGATTTATCACTTTTCTGTAATACTCCTGCTGAATAGACAATTCTTTTTACATTCCTTATAGCTGTGCACACAGTGTTGATGTAAGAAGACTTCCCGCTTCCTGCTTGCCCAATTAATAATATGTTAAGAAATGTTGCATCCCGGTGAATTTCAAACGTTGCTATCTTTTCCAAGAACTCCATTTTTAACTAAAACAGATGAAAAATCAATTCAAGTCATCAGCTATTGGGAAAATCATATGTACCGTTTCCTAGCAAAATAAAACCCTTTAAAATGACAAATAGTGTTCAGAGTCACGGGTACTTCATCTTCCTATTCGAATCATTTCGCAAAATCGCCAATCAAAGTAAGGGCATTTTTTCCCCTTTTTTGAGGTGAGGGGGGGGGGGGGGGGGGGGGCTTTACATAGGTGATATGCGTGGATCGTTGGTCAAAGTAGGACTTTCACTGTGTTTGCTACAATTTCATAAGAATTCCTTAATTTTTCATTTATTCTTGCAAGAAACTGAATACTACGGTGTCCGTTTAAAAATTTCAATGCTTGTATGATAACAGACGAGTTTTGGCGAAAAATGTACGAACAGAAAGGATTAAATAACTAATAAATACGATCTTTATACATTTATGTTACAAAAGACACGATTTTATACAATGCTCCTACAAACACGGGGCCTCAATTTCCACGGTCTCATCCGAAGGACCGCCCCATTTAGTCGCCTTTCACGACAAGCAAGGGGTACTGAGAACCTATTCTAACCCAGATCCACACGAGGTTTGTAGAGACGACTGTTAAAGGTAAGGGTTGAATAAAATATACAGGTTAATTTGAAAATGTATCACAAATTAGGGAGTGAAAGGTTGTTAATTGACCAGAACTGAGAAATCCCCCCAAAAGAGTGCAGAAATCCTTTCACCGTAAATTGCACCATATTTACATCACGAGTAGCATTATGGTCATGTAATAAATATAAAACCCCCTACGATACTATTCTGCATCTAAAAAGGAAGTGCATAATTCATTGAAAACTACCACAGTACAAGATTTATGAGTATATCACTCTCGGTCAGTCGTTTTTAAATTGTAGAAAATTATTTCTGCGCAGCACAGCTAAGGTTACAAATGGAAGTATTGGCGTTTTTAAGATGATTTTTTTTTTAAATTACATACTTTATTAGGATGGGAGATTCTTTTTAGAACTTCAATGATAGCCAAAAATGTAATATGCTTTAAATCTACATGTTGGGCACATTTAGATTTTTTATTTAGACTTTTCACGTGATTTCGACGTTACATGATTTAGGCAATTATACTTGCAGTTTAGAGGTCATCTATAAATTCCAATATTGCAATGGCATAACCAAGTTTAAAATCGAAGTTTAACTTATAATCCTTTACAACACTATTGGTAGTTTGTGAAAAGTGCTGCGAACCTATATAAATTCCGTTTTTTTTTTTTTTTTTTTTTTTTTTTTTTTTTTTTTTTGCTGTTCAACGACATCAAATTTTCGAATAATTAATTTTTTTTATAAAATTTCCTGAGATTTGCAGCTCGTTCTTAATTCTTGAGTTTATGTGTAAAAACTTCACAGGATACATTGAGGGTATGCCCTTGCGATAAATCGATTTATTATGGCCCTTTCATTTCTTTTTCAATGAATCTGCATACAAACACACGACTGTATCATTTGTCAGGAGAATGTACAGACAGCTTATAAATAAAATAATAAAACATCCAAGTTAACAGCCTTTTATTTAATTGCAAATAATATTTTATTTGAGAACAAAAGACATTTTTCATTGTACAAAATGTTACTTGATCAGCCTCTCACTGTGTATAAACTGCGTCATTTTTGCGAGATGACGTCACAATGACAAGTGCATGCGATCAACGCATCGTTTATATACTGTTGTGTTGAATTTAACAAACGACAAAACTGCATGGAAGTTTGTATCACCATGTAGTAAACAGCTATTCAGCTGTTTGAAAAAGCAAATAATTTCATTTTGTGGTATTTTGAAGACCTTGAATTATATGTGACGTCATAGTAAACATTTCCCGTACAAATTAGGCCTCACCTTCTTAATTTAAGTGTGCTCCCTAATACCTGCTGAACATTATGATCTGTTCCAACACATATATTCAATAGAGATCATATTGAAGGAAATAGGGGTGTCAATTTCATCGAATTATGTTTAATATATTTTATTAATTAAAGTAGGGGTCTACTCGTTGTAAACCGGAAGCCGGATTTAGCCGTTTTCTGTTTTAAAATTATGATATATATATAACATTAGCAAGAACGCAAACAAGGTCTACAGAAGTGTTGGACTAGTGCATTAAGATGATTGAGAGTATTTTTGTGCAAGGATTGAGATTTATACAGTATGTGGCAGAAAATTGAATCGATTTGAAACACAAGCGCGAGGACAAATGCCGGACATTTCAGTTGCAGTATATTTTTGCCTAGTAGGTTATATTGATACTATACGTTTATGATTGTATTTGTACAACTCCAATATTTCTGATATATATTTACAGAAACAGTGGCAAATAATTTGCTCTTATGTAAGTAAATAATACTTTTCGTTTATTGTTTTCATTTGTGTTCAATTGGTATGCTATGCACATGGGATTTTCCTGATTTCGATTTTGACGGCAAATTTTAATTAAACTTATTATAACAATTGAAAAAAAAATCAAAACAGGCTAAAATGATGTACAGTGTATATAAACTTTTAGACATATTTTTTTTCCGAAATACATTGTATATCTGTATTTCTTGGCTCATAATCTTTTGTAAGTAGTAATAGGCATCAAGAAAAATTGCACCATTACATGTAATAGTAGACATGTCCCATGTATATTATATATTAATATTAGAATTAAATTTAGAATAAAATTTATTTTGTAATTAGAAAAGGGTGTGTAAATTTTGATAAAATTGTTCTTAAAAAAAGTATTTAACTTTTACATGTACGCTGTGATTTATAAATGTTTTGTCGACATAATAGGCTTGAGCTATTGAACTGTGATGGGGGTATATGTAGTTTTTACGTTTATCATGCCTAAAAGATACTTCAAGCATCGGTAGCTATAAATAAAGACAAAAATGTCAGGGTAATCAAATTAATTATTCTAAAAGAGAGCTTTAATTTGGTTTTGAGCTTAAGTTAAATGAGACTTATTCTTCAAAATTTTCTTAGTTTGAACCAGTAATGTGTACCCTAGCCTAGTTTTATTCATAATTATCCGTATCCTTGTGATTTATTTTCAAAAGAATTGATTTGCCATGTGCAATGACATAAAATGTAGACCGTCTTTTTAACAGTCATAATCTTGTTTTTGGTACAAGAGGGTAAATGAATGTTTCACACCTTATCTCAGTAAATTATATACTAGATTATCAATTTATTCTTGTGCTTTTGAAATAGATTTCACCGTCAGACAGGGGCTGATGGTTTTTATCCCATAAAGACTTACCAGAAATATTAGTTTTTTGTTAACTGTTTTCTTTTTATCAGAATAACATGCATAATTAATTGGTGCAAGTCAATCTTGTGTTTTTCTTTTCCGGTGTGTAAAGATGTGTGTGTGTGGGGAGGGGGTTGCGTTAAAAAACCATCCAACATGCTACCAAAGGGTTATTTTTGAGCATATGTTGAATACCTTGTTAAGGGGGGATAGTGCCCCCCATAGGGGAATTTATCACGGGTACTAGTTGTGATATGACTATATATTTTTTACTCATCTATGTCTAGTCTGCGTATGATATGCTAGTCACATAAGCTGGTGATGTACAGTATTACATTTTTTGCCTATTGATGATGTACAGTTACATTTTCTATACAGATGTAAGCAAAAGGACTTGAGTAGTCTTGATATTATATTTTTTTTTGTATTTATGCTTGTCTGACTACTTTACAAAAAACTACCTTTTACATTTTCATATACTGTATTTTGCAATTGTATTTGTAATTGTATTTTACAGGGAATGTTAATTTTGATTGTGTTTTTTCCTCTGTCATTAATTTTCATCCGCATGTTTTGTGCAATTTTTTACAGGAAAATAAATGACATTCAACTCTCTGATTATCTTATTACCTATTGGCATTAGGCAAACATACATAAAAAGACTTATTGTGCATCTCGTGATTACAAAATATCCACATTGCTTATCATTTTATTTCTTGAATCGTAATTGACTTCGAAATCTTTCAACAAGTTACAAAGAAATATGTAGACAAAGTATCACCTCGTTATGCGATTGGGTCTCGCTATACCTTTGATCCTAAATAAAATTTATCAATCTCCTTTGCAGAGATGTCGTTCGTTCCTCTCTCAGACACCTCTGCAATGGGCTTATATTTGACATAACGTATAAAACATGATATTTGCAGAATTGTTTCAAATTAATTTGATAGTTCTAGATTGATATATTAAATATCTATCTCAAAACTCAGACATAAGCATAAAAATGAATTATAATGAATTAAAACAAACGGAAAATTTCTCGTGTTTATCACTGTGGTATACGAGAGCCAACGACAGAGGTGAATGTATGAACCGATGGTAGAGAGTAAAAATTTATACATAATTGCACATATTTTCTCTTCAATACATTCACCGAAGAAAGAAATTTGCAAATTAATGTAAATATTTAAAACTTAATGCTTTTACTAAAACCGACTTACCGATTTTATGTCAAGTTGATCATCACACGGCAGTTTTCTCCATGGTTCTTCGTAGTATCCTCTGACTTTAGCAAAAAGAAATTTCAGTTATTTGTTATTATTAAAGAAATAAAATCAGGTTTTCGTGAATATTGCAGAATAACATCCGAGGTCGAGTAATGTTGTTTGAAGGAAAAAAAAGCGAGGCGTTAGATCAGGCTTTTATATCTCAAACAAAATTTCGAGACAGATGAGATTTATCTGCATCATTCACAAAAACGAGGATTTACTTTTATTCGGTTAAGTAGCAGTAAAATGCAGCTGATAGCTTTTCTAGAGAGAAACGAATTAGGTCACCATGCTGCAATAACGCTGTTCCATTTACCACCAGATTAGATTAGAGGTTAGATTTTAGTTTGTTTACATGTGAATAGAATGTACACAATATGTGCTTTTGGTGCATTAAAATAAGCCATTTTTTGATATATATATATATATATATATATATATATATATATATATATATATATATATATATATATATATATATATATATATATATATATATATATATATATATATATATATATATATACCAATAAACTTATAATATAAATCCACACACGTATTGTTATAATAAAAAATCACAACACCGAAATAAACTCAACCGGTTTCATTTCCAATCTTCAGGAGTTTGACAATACAATGCTTAGTTACACAAAATCAACATTCATATTGTGACGTCATAAAGCGCCAATACTTAGTCGCGCTTTAGCAAAGTTCATTATGACGTCATGATAATACATTAGTAAGTTATTACGGGAAATAGATTTTTTATACAAATAGCACAGTTATATTATGCGGGTAAAAGTATATTTCTTAAATGAAATATAATTATGCTGCATTTAAAACAGGTTTATGTCTGTTTATAAAATGTTTTTCTTTAGTTTCACGTTCTTTTTCTGTAGTATCCCTTCGGAATTTATAGAAAGGAAAAACAGTAAAATTGGGGGTTTTATTTTTAATAATGCTGAAAATTTCCGGATTTCTTGGGTTATTAGGAACAATCTGCCCATTTTAGAGGAAGATCCAGACATGAAGAAAATATTAGAAACTTCACAGATCATTAAGAGTAAACGACAAAGTCCGTCTCTCAAATCCATCCTTACAAAAGCATCCTTTTCTACTAACAACAATGAACCAGCAATCATCAATAGATGCAACAAGCCCAGATGCAGTACTTACCCATACCTGACAGAGGGATCCAAATTTCATTTTAAAACTGGAAGCGAATTTACAATTAAAACATCTATGTCATGCACCAGCTCGAATCTAATTTATGTAATAACCTGTGCCGGTTGTGGTGAAAATTATATCGGCCAGACAGGAGACACCCTGAGACACAGAATGACCGTACACCGACAACAAATCAGGGAACCAAGATACCAGTGTACCGCCGTAAGCGAACACATCAGAAACTGTGCCAAAAATAAAACCCCCAATTTTACTGTTTTTCCTTTCTATAAATTCCGAAGGGATCCTACAGAAAAAGAACGTGAAACTAAAGAAAATCATTTTATAAACAGACACAAACCTGTTTTAAATGCAGCATAATTATATTTCATTTAAGAAATATACTTTTACCCGCATAATATAACTGTGCTATTTGTATAAAAAATCTAATTTCCCGTAATAACTTACTAATGTATTATCATGACGTCATAATGAACTTTGCTAAAGCGCGACTAAGTATTGGCGCTTTATGACGTCACAATATGAATGTTGATTTTGTGTAACTAAGCATTGTATTGTCAAACTCCTGAAGATTGGAAATGAAACCGGTTGAGTTTATTTCGGTGTTGTGATTTTTTATTATATATATATATATATATATATATATATATATATATATATATATATATATATATATATATATATATATATATATATATATATATATATATATATATATATATATATATATATATATATATATATATATATATATATATATATATATATATATATATATGCTGTATATAGCACTAAAAATGACCAACGACACAAACAATAAAAAATTGCCATATTTTCGGGACGCCCTGTCCCTTCCTCAGGAAGGGACATTATGATAAAATTATAAATGTTCTTCAAATGTCATTGTTTACATATACAGTCCGCATCGTCGCATGAACAACAATGATCGATCCACAATACCAGTACTGTATTGGAATATATAAGGGGCGGGGCTTACTGGCGGTGAGATAAAAACGGGGTCCGCTTCACGCATCAGTGCGTAAAGCGGTCCCAGGAAGCGAACACCGGGTTCGCTCTAGCGGACCCAGAGCTGACCCCGAGCGAACGCGGAGCGCACCCAAAGCGCACCCGGAGCGGTCCAAAAATTTCTGAAAGCGAACCAAAAGCGGACCCCGAGCGGACCCGTGAAGCGGACCCGTGAAGCGGACCCCGGGTTCGCATCAGTGCGTAAAGCGGTCCCAGGAAGCGAACACCGGGTTCGCTCTAGCGGACCCAGAGCTGACCCCGAGCGAACGCGGAGCGCACCCAAAGCGCACCCGGAGCGGTCCAAAAATTTCTGAAAGCGAACCCAAAGCGGACCCCGAGCGGACCCGTGAAGCGGACCCGTGAAGCGGACCCCGGGTTCGCTTCCCGGGTTCGCTCGGGGTCCGCTTTGGGTTCGCTTTCAGAAATTTACATGGATACCCACTTCCGCCCCAGCCCGGGGTTGAACTCTCGATCTTCGGAATCTGTCCCCTAGCAGTGCAGAATTAGCGCGCTAGACCGCTCGGCTATCTAGGCAAGTTAAAAAACTGGCTTTCGATGCCGATGGAATTCTCTCGGCGCTGCCCTTTACAACACGGTCATTGAGTATAGAAGTGAGATACAGTTTTTTGGACATTAGTTTTAATAGAGGATTGTTACCAATACATGTTGTAATGAAATTAATTATCATTTATAAAGCACAATTTACAACAACTCTTAAACTAACATAACTGCCCTAAATAAAGAAATATTGATATAGAAAGCACAAAGAAATTCACTTTTACATGGATACCCACTTCTGCCCCAGCCCGGGGTTGAACTCTCGACCTTCGGAATCTGTCTCCTAGTAGTGCAGAAACAGCGCGCTAGACCGCTCGGCTATCTAGGCAAGTTAAAAAACTTGCGGCGGAAGTGGGTATCCATGTATAAGTGAATTTCTACAAGAACTGAAAGAATATCTACGGAAATAAAGTTATCCCGAAAAAAATTTTGATAATGCCATTAAAAAAGCCATGGATTTAGAAAGAGAGGATCTCCTCAACCCTGTGCAACAAAACAAGACGGATTCCAGGATCTTGCCTTTAGTAACGACTCATAATCCCCAGAATACTAACGTTGCACCGATTGTTTACCAACTGAACGACGTTTTGAAAACCGACAAAACTATGTCTTAAATATTTAAAAATCGAAAATTCATAAACAGTAGGAGGCAGCCGAAGAACCTCAGACGAATTCTCACAAAGACTTCTTTTAAATACATGTATGTATATTATTCTTCAATTCAAATGTATATTTCGTCGCCCGCGTGGTGCAGTGGTTAGAGAGTCTTCTCTAGAATCGCTCAGTAAGGAGTCAATACTTACGTCGATGGTTCGAATCCCACTGCAGGACGTGGAAACCGGTCTATAGGTCCGTATAAACCGAGAATCCGTGTCGCAGTAGGTGTGGCACGAAAAAAGATCTCCCCTTCTCAATGGCACTAAGTGCGGAGTAAAGGACAAAATTTGCAGTTCTCTACCGGCAAATGGTGGCGTCTCTATATGAGTGAAAAATTCTCGAAAGGAAAATAAAACAATATACAATCAATCAATCAATCAGATATATATTTCAACTGCACAGGTTTTCTAGGTTATTATGATTTGATATTTTTTTGATGACGTTCGTGATTTTTTGGATAATAATGTCTGCGGCATTTCTTGGATCTTGGCAATAATTGTAGTATGATTACATCTATCTCGAATTGCATTTTATATTCCAGGTTTTTCATATGAATTTTCTTTTAAAGAAGACTCTAGACCGGTCACGGTAGCCTAGTGGTAGAGCGTTCGCTTCGTGATCGGGAGGCCCGGGTTCGATTCTCGATCGCGGCGCCGCGTCATACCTAAGACGTAAACAAAGGTAGTGACTGTTCCTTCGCCAAGCGCTCGGCACTAGAAGTGAAAGTCACGGGTCTTTCGGATATGACCTTAAAAACGTAGGTCCCGTGTCACGGTAGGCGTTGGCACGATAAAGAACCCTCACTGCTCAATGGCTCTGAGTGCCGAGTATAGGTCTAAATTTGAAGCCCTTCACCGGCATCGGTGACGTCTCCATATGAGTGAAAAATTCTCAAGAGGGACGTTAAACAATATATACAATACAAGAAGACTCTAGTGGTTCGAGTAGATATTACCTTTGACCCGTTCCTCAGAACATTAAGTGCTTATAGAATCATTCACTACTACGAGTGTGGGATAGTGAAATTCAACCGAGGGGACAATATTCACAGTCTAGGACGAGGTTTTGCCGAGTCTTAGACCATGAATCTCGGCCCCGAGGTGGAATTACACTATTCCCACACGTGTATGTAATGAATGATTATTTTTCTCGCATTATTTTATCCAAAATAATGGCCTGTCAATGACGTCGTCATGATGGGGCTAATTTTCCACCTAATTAAAAATCTGAATACACCATCGGAGAGAACGTACCTGAAATGGTTTACATGTAGTGTAAACTGATAAAATAATTTTCAGTCCATGTAAATAAATCAGAAAGATAAAAACTGGGAATAAAAAACTTATCCATCCAACAGCGTAAAAGAAGAATCATTCCACGATCTAAACATAGTGCCATTACAAAAGTGAAAATAAGACAATATTTTGAATGAAAATAAGTTTATATTAATAAGTTTAATGAAAACAGTTTAATTATGTGTTATATTTTTTTTTTACATTGTTACAATTTTCTTTTTATATAATGACGGAATGTTTACGTTCTCGTTCGTGGCGTAGTAATACACAGTGTAAGACAGAAAAATCTCACACTGCTGTCTCACACCGGACAAGTCAATTTTACACTGGTGATTATGCGAGAAAAAAGAATATTCTACCATTAGTTTGACAGTTATTGCTTGATGGACTTTTGTGAGGATCGCTGAATTTTACTATTAACGGAATATTTTCACATTACGACAAAGAAAGGAAGCTCTTTAACGATATAAATATTTAGCTTAACATTTAATTCAAAGAAAATGACGGGTTATTTAAAAGTAGTACTACATATAAGTTGCCCTTGAAGAAAACGACCACCAAACTACCCTCAACTCCCAGCCTTCACATTTAAGTGCCCATTAAGCCATGCCTATGACCAGTAGAAATATTTTTACTCAAGCCCTAGAGGGACTTGAGTTATCTAAAGCGATGCTAGGTCATCGATTTACTCAGTTTTGAAACACGAAAATATATCATTTTGGTAGATAAAAATATTTCTAGAAACAAAAATGAAGCTTATCTGAAAGGTGACACAGGTTAACCCATCGTTAACAGATTCTACAAAGCTAGGCTAGAAATGGCTTGCTGCCCCCCCCCCCCCTCCCCACACACACACACATACACTGATATTGTAACTCATTTGCCTGATGCGTACTTGGAGTGGCAATAAAATAATAGCACAGAATATATTTAAGATGGATCTTCCTTCATACGTACATTTGTTTTTCAAAAAAAAAAATAGTATTATCGTCAGTTTGGTAATGGAACCCATATAACATTTATTGGATTCTTACGGAATATGTATTGGACATGCCGCACAGCTGGATGAATCCGTAGTCACATATGGTTTATTTGCAGTCCGCAGGCCATGTTGCACAGCCCCCCCCCCCATCACCACGTGCACCGTACCCCCTTTGAAAAAAAAATTCTACAGGCTCGTAGCAAGCCATTTATTTTGATGTATATTAAATGTTGTCATTGGCGTCGGAAGACATTCAAAAACTGTATATAGTTTGAAGTATATTAAATGTCCACATGAACAAATATTTAATTAAAAAACGGTAACTATCCTCTATGAAATATTCCTGAAAGTGTATAAAGAAAATTCATCTTAAAAAGTTGTACGATTGATTATTGTATGTCGTCCCGGACAACAAATTGCGAGTGTACGCATGTTTTTGTTGTCCAGGCTGTTTCTCGGAGATGGCTGAGACAATCTTCCTGAAACTTTCCTTAAAGGAAGATCGCTGGTTGTAGTTGTGCAATGTGGTCATTCAGGTTCAAAATGGCCACCGTTGCCATGGAAACCTGCAAAAAGCGACGAATTTGTCCGCGAATGTTCTATCTGGTCCCTTTAACATTTTTCATGAAACTTTACTGATTTATTTATTGTATTTGTCATTGTCGATGTTGCATTTAATAATTGGAAATGGTCAATAGGAAAAAATGTAAATTTTTTTAACTTTGATTTTAGATCAAAGTACTGAAAATTCTGATAGGAGATGATGGTTTTTACAATCTTTGTTAATGGGTATTGTTTTATTGATAAGAAAAAATGAACATTTTGTCTAGTTTGGGGTAACATAAGCTATTGCTTGCATAGCAGACTTTTTAGCTATCTTTACTCTGATTGAATTCATTATATGAATTTTGTTTCATGTACATGTGTTTCATTCAACAGAAGATATCCCTCATCTAATACCATTTTAGGATATTAATTAATGCCACTTCCAAGCTGACTTTATACTGAAACAGCTTGAATATCTCTGACGTTTTGTCAGCATGTACTTGTTTATCTATTATCAATTCTGTATTAACTGTAAAAATCTGTGCTTCTCGAAAACGTCCAATAGAAATACTTACAAGTGTAACAATTCAACCAACTTTAACACAAAGTATTGGAATACATACATCTTCGTATAATAATCCTTGAGTAGAAGATTAAAAAGCAATATCATAATAAAGGTTTTTCTTACCAAACCTGGTTTTTGTTGAAGAGTTTCCCATTGATAGTGTTCCTTAAAAGATTGTTTATTCGTATGATAATGATGATTATTAATATTATTATTTTATCATAAAATGAGAAAATGTGATTTGTACCTCGAGCAAAATTCTAGAGATAAATTTTACCCTAGACTTCTTCTATATAAATATATTTATTGAGATTACGCAAAAGCCCTTTTTATCTTTTGCACTTTGGAACACGTAAGGTACTTAAATTTATATCATGCGACATTTTGATCTCTGTGTGTCACACGATGTGTTGTTGAGTGCATAGCTGTTCCCTGTACAGGTAACAATGAGTGGTAGGTAAATTTATGTTTACAATTGCTGACGTAAATAGATAATTCACAATAATATTTTAATAATTAAATTGTTAATTTTAGCAAACATTAAAACTTTTATTCGTCCTGTTAATAGAAAAAAAAAAATTAATGCCCTTATATAAATTGCAATCTAAAATAAGTTTAGTTTTGTCGGATACTTATGCAGTTTATAGGTCAATTTTGTGCAATACTTAAGATGCAGTTAATTCAAGGATAATCTTTTACGTCCTTTCGGACATTTTTTATGTAAGATATACGTACACGACATATAAACAATGACTTTGTAAAACAAAATGATGAAATGAGTATAAACACATGAAAGGTGATTTAAAAGACTACGAGGGGTTATTAAAAAGTTCGTGGACTGAGGCTATAAAATTAGTACTATTTAGTCCGTGCTTTTAAAAATTACATGGATATAAAGCAACAAAAAATAAAAAAAAAATTGAAAATTTTAGCTTGATTCGTTCATTTTTTGCTAAAATATGATAAAATTACAAAGACATTATATGATTTTCCGGCGTTGTCGCTGTTTAGTTTCATGACGTCCCACAACGTCATTGTTTTTCAATGTCCGCTTCTTCTACCTCATACACTTTATTTGATGAGAATCCCTAGATTTGAGTAAAGATTTAAACCCGTCTTGTTTTTATGGCTTTACAACGTCAGGAACATCGGCTTTAACGTAGAACCTACGTCGCATGACATCATAACTAGTGAATGTTTTAAGCCTGTGCTAGATCCATTATGACGTTATTATTAATTCAATGTCATTTCCCGTACTTTTCGGCTTCAATATAGAAATGGTAGAAAAAACTGCACTTTGAAATTCACAGAATTTAATTTAAAATCATGCCGAAATAATATTAATAATATTCAATTTATATGTATTTTTTAGTATAATGCTTAATGGCAATATATTTCTTGAATTAGAGAAACCTGAAGGCACCTTTCATTTAATAGATCTTGACCTTAATTAGGCTGACAAATCCAGGACTATATTGTGTGATGAAATTGCCATATATACAACAAACTGTAATAATGTAAATGGCATGTAACTATTTTAAAGGAATGCAAAAGTCTTTTTAAAAATCGTCAGATGCCAACTACCGGTAAAAAGTGTAATATCTTGATGAAATGTGTCTAAGTCAAAGATGTACGTGTTGTAGTTTGTGTGTACATTTTGTGATATCTATCATGAAATGATGTGCATTCCTTTTCATAATTATTTGTTACTTATTCATATTCTTGGAGTTTTATTACAATTTCTCTATTAAATGTGATCATTTAAATTAAAAGTACAATTTTTTATAAACATTTTTAAGCTGAAAGTAACCCCGAACAGTCATTTAATAATAAAATCTATGTAAGTGCAGAAATGTCAAGAATATTAGTATCGGTAAATAACCTATCTCTCATTCGTTAGAGGGGAAAGGTATATATATTTTAATCAATTTTTGTAATCATTTGGGTATATTCTTTATTATATTAAAGATTGAAAACATTGTGACGAAGACTTCTGATATATATTTACAAATGTAGGTTGGAAAATTGACTGAAAATAAATAGAGTTCATTTGCCTATAGTTTTGAAAATGTGGACTTATCTTTTATGTCAATTGAATAAAAAAGAATTTATTCTCGGGAAATATTGTTTAATACTGTTCAATTAATAAACAACAAAAACAATGATGTTTAAAGAAGCAATTCTGGGATTTTGTTGTCTTCTTTGCCAGACAAGTACCCCTAAATGACTGAAATTGTGAGGTCGTAGTATGTATTTATCATTCCATGTTTAATTGGCTGCACTACATTTAATAACAAGGAAACATGTCATGTGCTTTTAACTGATTGATAAGCTGATAAGCAAGTGCTAATTTATCATTATGAAAAGTTTGAAAATCTTGTGAGAAAGACTTCTCCGACATGGGTTCTACCTTAAATGCATATAATATCCAATTGGATTGATACATTGGGAGAGATCCTCAGCATATGTTGCTTTTGGGAGTTTAATATCTACAACATATGATCAACGTCATTTTTGACATGAATGATTTTTCACACCTTGACTACAATTCGGCATTAACTGTGCGTCCATTTTCTCTCCGAACCTCTTTTGCATTAAAATAACAAGTACTCTGGAAGCATTTAATTTCTCCATAGCCAGTTAAAACATTTCCTAGGTCTATACTACTTTTTTCAGGGCCAAAACTTTATAGAATGTTGGAAAATGAAACCCTTCCCCCCTTTTGACGTCATTTTCAAGGACTTATTTGTTAGGACACTCTATGTTAAATTTACGATAAATTCTCATAGAACTTTCGGAATGAGGTGAAAATTTCATATTTTATGAAACAATAGTGTCTCAACATATACATGAATTAATCAGATTTTTTGATGTCAAATGTTCATATCTAAAGAGTTTTTTCGTTCAACTTGGTACTCTAAAGTTGAAAAAACGCCGTATTCGAGGTTGTGCCGCCTGGACATAACATAGCTTTCAAGAACATTGCTAATTTATTTAAAAATAACATTAATGATCTGCGGTTTATCCTATAGATAGAAAAGATTATGCTCACCAGATATTTTAAAATTCATCGATGTATCTAAAGCAGTTTTAATTTTATGGCGCCAGTCCACGAACTTTTTGATAACCCCTCGTATATTTTTCACAAAATTTTACTAATGAAGTCGTTATAAATACAAAGCATTAAAGTAAAATCAACAAATAAGGATTCAATCTTTTTAGAATTTATTTATGAAGGAAGTGCGTGAACAGTATATAGATACGCATTTCAACTGGGAATTACATGTATGGGCGGAGTACCTGGCATTTTGAATACGATTATTAATAAAAGGTTAATATATATCATTTGAGATTGTTCTATATGAAGTTTCCGTATATAAGTATCCGTATGTGTATACGTATCGAGGTATGAGAGGCATCTCGATCCCGATGTCTGAACCATCTGGTTAAATTTCCGTCGTTTCATGTTTAGTTTTTAACCCCATTCACTACGAATTCATATGTAGTGTGATATTTGTCAGTTGCTGTACACGCCTTATGTATCCTGTTTTTGGCGCAAGGGGACGGGTTATTATACATTATTCATTTAAAATTTAAAATTAAATAGGATATGCCCTAGCATTGTTTTTTAAAGTGTTTTATTACCTTGAATGGAAAGAACAGTGACGTCATAAAAATGTGCACTTGCATTTATATACCTTGACTACGAGGTATGTAGAAGAAAATCAATTTGAATTTTCTCCGTTCATAAAGTATTCAATTTATGATTTTTTGTTCGCTCATTTGCATAGAAAAACTTATATGTAGCCTTAATTCACTTGCACTTGCGTACACCGTTCGTTCACGTTTGCGCTCCGTTCGCGTTCTTTGCTTATTCAATGTTCACGTTGCCAAGTTCCAGTTAGCTTTCACACAAAGTTCACACACTGTTCTCTCTGCGTTCGTTCAACTTTCATTCAGCCTTCAAGTGGGAAAGTAGAACGTTTCAGGGAATGTATAAAAAGGTCCATTTAAGTATCCTGATCGTTTTTGGCGAAAATATAGGCCAACATACGACGCGCTTTTAAAATCACTGAATAACCACACACGAGATCCGGAATTCTAGACTGATATTCGTTAACACACTCAATATTGCCGCTTGCACTTTCACCGAAGATTTTAAAAAAAAAACTATAGGGTATTTATTTTTCCGACTCTCGAGCAAACCGCATCTCTAGATGCTTTGAATTCATCCAGCCCAAGCTTGGTGGCGAGTTCAATAGTCTTTGCCTGGATTAAGGGGCCACTTAAGGGTATATTTTTTGCCCTAGCTTGTCCAAACCATTTTAACACCAATTCATTTAATTCAAAAAACTTTGACCCAGATGTAAATCGTTTTCTCTTAAATGAAATGTTTCCTTCATATTGTTCCATTAAAAAAAGTCTCACGTATCAAAATGTCCGATACGGTGGTACGTCCAACTCCGAATTCTTTCGCAAGCTGTTCTTGTGTTGGTTTTGGAAACGACTCTGATTTTTTTATTAATTCAATTTCTTTTTCAAATCCCCAAATCAATTCTTTTCCTTTTAGGAGAAGGCGACATTTCACATACCAGTTTTCTTTTCTGGGGCGCTGACGCCATTTTCGTGTAAGAATAATACCAACAAAGAAAATGGATTTGGTTTTTTTTTTATTTGAGTTTAAATCAATTAGTGTGTACATAAATAAAACACCTGCAAACTTCAACATGAATCACTGAATACATTTTCAGCTGACCAATTGACCAAACGGGACTTAAAAATCACAGCTGGGACCCGTAATTGGCCAGCGGCTAATTATGATATACCTACCTGGGGTTTAAAGGCCGAGATTTTTAACCGTACGGTTTTCTCAGGTAAGGGGAGGAACTAAATTTTACATGCATGGCACCCCAAGGCACTGACGGTCGTGCAGAATGTGGGAAGCGCTAATCCCTATACACAAACAGTATACACAGGAAGTCCATGAGTATTACCTGTACAGCTTGTTGGCCCTATGTTCATTATTAATTAAATTAATAAATCTAGACACCGTAAAATATAAAAAAAAAATATAATAAGTATTAATTGATGATAATTATAAATTCCATAATTTCAGACTCATCTCTGATATTATACAAGCAGAAATCTCACCGGTCGACTTTTGTTAAAAAATCTACGGTATGTACATTAGTACATTGTATGTCACAGTA